GAGGGAGACACAGAATCTGAAGCAGGCTCCAGGCTCTGAGCTGTCAGCACAGAGCCCGACCCAGGGACCTGAACCCACGAACCGCGAGATCATGACCTGAGTCAAAGTTGGACGCTTAACTGACTGAGCCACCCAGGTGCCCTTATTTATTTTTAAAGTTTATTTATTTTGAGAGAGAGTGAGAGAGCAGGAGGGGCAGAGGGAGAGAGAGGGAATCCCAAGCAGGCTCTGCACTGTCAGTGCTAGCCACATGCAGGGCTCAAACTCACCAAACAGGAGATCATGACTGAGCTATCTAGGCACCCCTCAATAAGCATTTTTAAAAAGTCCTATTGAATGCAGAAACTATACTAGGAGATATGTAGAACACAAGCCTGAGAAAGATTTCTTTCCTATTATATAGGAAATCGCAGTCTAGCGAAACAGGCAAATATATACAATTCAGGACGAACTGTAAAAAGTTAAATAATGAAATACAACAATGAGCCAATACTTTCACATATAGGCAGTGTTTTATAGTGAAAAATATCATCAGACTTTGGACTCAGCTCTGAAGTTGGCACGGTAACTTAGTTGTGGGCAATTTAGCCCCATTAGCCTTCTTTCCTTACTAGTGAAATGAGGGTCATAAATACTCACCCTTAGAATTATAATTCTAATTGCAAGATTGTCTTGAGGATTACTAATAACGTAATAAAGTTCCTGGCATATAGTTGATGCTTGATAAACAATGGACATTACTATTTAATCCTAATAGGACGAAGGCGGAGCAGGGATGGTTATCCTTGCTTTTCAAATGAGGAAACGAAATCTCGGTGAGATAAGTGATTATTCGAAAAGTCACCAAACTAGCAAGTGAAGACGCCAACCCAAATCGTGATCTTCCGACCACGACCTTTTTGAAAACGACAACTTTCACCTATCTCATGCCTGTTCAAACGCATCAGGGGGAATGCGGAAGATGAGTAGAAGCCGCGTCTTGACCTTCGGAGAGGTGAGTTTAAGGAGAGCGAGCATTCCAGGATCAAAGGAACCCCTACAGGGAGCTCTGGGGAAACGGTCCGGAGTCCTCCAGGGGCCGGGGTGAGTTCGGTAAGACTAGAGTGAAGGCTCCATCCACGCCCTAGAGTGTCGACTTGGTACACCGCCCTAGGCAGGACTCAGGTAGCCTCAGAAAGAGCCATTTAAACAGCAGACACCCGACGCACGCGGGGTCCTTTCCCAGACCGCCCAGCCCATCTCCGGGGGCGGGGAGGGGCCGTCGCGCAGCTAGCCTATCATCACAGCCGAAGCCCGCGAACTCTCTTCCTCATTGGCGACCTCCAGGGTGACGTCATGTTCGGCGGACCCGCAAAGGAAGAGGGCGCCATGATTGGTTGGCGCTGGGGCGGCGGGCGGTGGAGGACCCTGGCGAGTCTAGGTTTCCAGCCGGTGCTGGACTTTCCCCTTCCATGTTCCGAGGCTCTGGGGGACTGCAGAGGGCGGGGAGTCGGCTCGGCGGAGACCTGGATTGGGTTCTAAGAGCCGTGGGGTTGAGAAGGGGTGACCGGAAGTGATCTTGGGACTGACCGGAAGCGAGGCCTGGAGGGGAAAGGGAGAGCGGGTCCCGGGAGGGAGGGGGGCTTCCAGCAGAAGGGGACGGGGGAGAAAGGTGCGAAAGCGCCGTGGGAGTGCCGGGTAGGCAGTGGGTCGCTGCTGCTGGTCTGTTTGGGAGGCAGCAAGTGACCACCACGAGCTCGAGGGGAGAGCCCAAGCAGTGGGAGTGCGGGAGCCTAGGGCTGCCTCAGCGGAATCTGGAATAGCTAAGCACAGGGGCCCTCGCACGGCTCCAAAGAACTGGGTGGGAGGGATTTTGGAAGTCGAGGCAGGAGCCAGGAGCTGAGGGTACGGCAGATTAGTTGTGCGGGAAGTGCGGTTCGGGCTTGGGGGTGGTCGTTGAGGACGGCGTGGGAGATCTTGGTTTGGAGTTTTCCACAGTCTTGCCCCCATTGGGTAGAATCACACTACTTGCCTTTGTACAAGAAACGGTGTCTCCTGGGGCAAGGAAGGAGCCAGCATGGCCTGGGCTCTGAAGCTGCCTCTGGCCGATGAAGTGATTGAATCTGGGCTGGTGCAGGACTTTGATGCTAGTCTGTCCGGGATCGGCCAGGAACTGGGTGCTGGTGCCTATAGCATGAGGTGAGTGAGATTTTTACCTGACCCTGCACCTTCTGAATAACAAAAGCAGGGAAGGGAATGAATAAGGTTGGAGGGGTGTGGGAGGGAGGTATTTAGAGTTAAATAAGCTGTCTGCGGTTAGGGAAAATTGACTTTTTTCTTTGTTACTTTGAGTAGTGACTACTGTGGAAGATATGGAAGAAGAAGGCAGTGTCAGGTCTGTGCAGGATCAGTGGAAGAAGCAGGAATGGCCCTTGGCTAGCAACCAGATGAATGTTGAGAGGCCGTTGTGCCAGTGTGAGAGATTGGAGACCTATAGTGTGTATGTGTATATGTGGTCAGGTTGGGCTGGAGGTGTGTGAAGGGGCCACATCTGGGGAGTTGGGAGCTGGGGTTTATTGATGAATATTGGTTGACTGCTTCTTGGAAGGAAACCTTGGTGAAGAAGCCCGCACATCTGTACCTTAGCTTGCTTTAAGGATTAATTCTAGGATGTCTGCCTTTTGAAACATAAGCTATGAAAAGAAAAAGTGTCAGAGAACTTTTAGATACTTCTAGATCTTAGTGTATCAAGTCAAATATTGATCAGAAATAAAAATCTCCTATGAAAGAAGCATAACCTCCCATGTAATTTATTTGCATGCATTAGTTATTTCATTTCCCCAGTATAGTTTGTTTCATTTATGAGATGTACGAGAATCAGGTCTGGAAATGTTGAAACACCTGCACGTGAGGGTTAGATGGAATATAATTGGGTTTCCAAATGCATTATAAGGCTCAATCTAAATAAGTGAGTTAGAAGAGACTTCAGAACTTAACAGTTTGAGTTTATAGGAGAAAGATGTTTTTTATGGTGAAAGCGGACAAATTTTGCGTTCTGATCACGAGATACTTTGAGAGTTATGTAATGTAAACTTCTTGTCTTTATCTCTGCTAACCCAAAATGGATTTTTCTCAAGTAAAATAATGAGTTAGAACTTAGTACTTCATCTTCAGGAATCTGTGCTTACAGCTAGAATAATAAAGGCTATCTTGTATACATACTTAAGTGATTTTCAGGGAAATTTAAGTGCTATCATGCAATGCTCTTAGTGTTAAGAAATTTAACTCTAGTTTTGTCTGTCCTTGTTTACATAAGTCTGGCCCGAAAAATAGAGATTAACTTGGTCTGAAAATAAATGCCCTAACCCTGAGCTTATGCTCAGTATCTGACATAATATTTGATAATTCATACTGTTGTTCATGTAAAGACTACCACAGCAAAAAGTTTGGTTTTGTCTAGTTTGTCAGAAGATGGAGATAATTAACTATAACCATACTTGTTATAAAAATAGTTAACATCGTCAACATTCTGTGCGTGTGTCATGTGCTTTCCGTACCATATAACCTTACATTTAAAACTGCTTTCCGGTGTCATACCCCAAATGGTCTACGTTGGTATTAGTCGAATGGTTTGCAAATTCACACCTTTAGAATTTTTTTTCTAACATCAATTCTGCAAGAGTTTTCCAAACATCACTTTCTGTTTTCCCCAGAGCACGATGTGCCAAAATGGCAAGTATTTTTTCTTTCTTTTTTTTCACCTTCCTCTTTTTCATGCATTTTGCTCTTGTCACACTCTTCTCCTGACTTTGATACACGTTTAATCATTTGCATTAATTTGTGTTAATTAGATATTAGTTCTCAAACGTTTGTGTTCATGAGAGTCCTCTAGAGTGCTTATTTAAAAATAGTTCCCAGGGCCTCATCTTCAGTGATTTTTCTGGGGCACAGGCCAGAAATCTGATATTTTTTTTTTAATTTTTTTTTTTTTTAACGTTTATTTATTTTTGAGACAGAGAGATGGCGAAGTGAACGGTGGGGGAGTGGTCAGAGAGAGGGAGACACAGAATTGAACAGCTCCAGGCTGTTCAAAGTGCTCGCACAGAGCCCAACGCGGGGCTCGAACTCACAGACCGTGAGATCATGACCCGAACCGAAGTTGGCCACTTAACCGACTGAGCCACCCCGACGCGTCCCCAGAAATCTGATTTTTTAAACAAGATCTTAGGTGATTTTGATGCAGGTAATCCAGCGACCACATGTTGAGAAGCACTGACTGGAGGAGTTTTTATACGCAAAGACCATGATTCTTTGCTCTTTGTGTTTCTCTCTATAATTAAACCTTCTAATCGATTTTCCTACAGCTTTATTAGGGAAAATGTTCTCTTTGTCAAGCTATTTGTTTTGTAAAATATATTCTCTGATGTATTCATTCTAACCTAATTTTCTTATTTTCTGCTGCATCTTATAATGGTTTCACTTCAGATCTATTGATTTATATTTTATAAAGATTCACCTTAACTGGATTTCTGTTTTGGACTTGATCTGCCCTTATATTCAGTGATGTTCTTTTTCTAAATGGTTCTTTAATATCTTTCTTACTTTTTCCCTTACACTTTAATACTTGGTACAAACTTTTATTGTTAAAATAAAAGAAATCCCCTGAAAAAAATGCTAAGCGAAAGGAGCTAGTCACAAAAGATAACACAATGTACGATTCCACTTCTATGAAATGTCCAGAATAGGCAACTCTGTAGAGACAGAAAGTAGAATAGTGGTTGGCTAGAGCTTGGGTAAAGAGGTAATGGGGGAGTGACTGCTGATGGTGCTGGGTTTTTTGGGGGGTGGTTGATAAGTGTTCTAAAATTGTGGTCCGGGGCATCTGCCTGGTTGTCGGTAGATCATGTAACTCTTGATGTTGGGGTTTGAACCCCATGTTGGGTGTGGCAATTAATTAAAATACATACATACATACGTATATACATACCTGCAAATTAATTTTGATAGTTGGGCAATTCTGTGACCACACTAAAGACAACTGAACTGTACACGTTAGATGGGTGAATTGTATAGTACAGGAATTGTATCAAAATAGTGCTGTTATTAAAAAAAAAAAGGAAAGAGGATCAAGTTCTGTATATTGAAAAGAATTTTATGTCTTTCATTTTTTTTTAAAGTTGAGGTGGAATTCGCATCATGTAAAATTAACCATTTTAAAGTGAACAATTCAGTGTTATTTGGTACATTCGCAATGTTGTGCGACCACCCACCACTCCCATCAGTCCAAAAGAAAACCCTGTACCTCTTAATGCAGTTGCTCCCCATTTCCCCCTCCCCCTCTGTAGTCTGTGTGCATGGATTTACCTATTTTGGATATTTCATATAAATGGAATCGTGTAACGTGTCCTTTAGTGTCTGGCTTCTTTCACTTAGCATGTTTTCAGGGTCCATTCGCAGGTAGCAAGTATCAGTAGTTCAGTATCTCATTCCTTTTTATGGCTGAATAACCCTTTCTATGTATATAATGCAGCTTGTTTATCCATTCATCAATTGGTAGACTGTAGGGGTTGTTTATAAAGGAGATGACCATGACATTTTGTTTTTAAATTTTTTTAATGTTTACTTATTTTTGAGAGGGAGAGAAAGAGAGAGCAGTGGAGGGGCAGAGAGAGGGAGACAAAGAACCTGAAGCAGGCTCCAGGCTCTGAGCTGTCAGCACAGAGCCCGACACAGGCTCGAACTCATGAGCCAAGCTGTGAGATCATGACCTGAGCCAAAGTCATATACTTAACTGACTGAGCCACCCAGGTGCCCTGACCTGAAATGTTTATAAACATTCATATACAAGTTTCTGTGTAGATTTCTATTTTTCTGTTTTTTTTCTGTGTAGATTTCTTTTAATTGAGGTATAATGATATATAACATTGTATTAGTTTAAGGTGTACAACATAATGATTATGTATTTGTATATATTGCAAAATGATCACAATGTCTAGTTAACATCTTTCACCGTACAAAACAGTTTTTTTCTTATGAGAACTTTTTAAAATTAATTAATTTATTTTTAATATAATTTATTGTCAAATTGGCTTCCATACAACACCCAGTGCTCATCCCAGCAAGTGCCCTCCTCAATGCCCGTCACGCACTTTCCCCTCTCCCCCACCCCCCATCAACCCTCAGTTTGTTCTCTGTATTTGAGTCTTATGAGAACTTTTAAGAGCTACTCTCTTAGCAAGTTTCAAATCTGCATTACAGTATTATTAACTATAGTCACGATGCTGTACTAGACATATGTTTCCATTTCTCTTGGGTATATATATCTAGGTGTGGAATTGCTGGCTCATATGGTAATCCTATGCTTAACTTTTTTGTTTTTAAATCTAAAGACTTTTTAGAGCAGTTTAGGCTCACAGAAATACTGAGAGGAAGGTACAGAATTTTCCCATATACCTCTTGCCTCCACACATGCATAGCCTCCCCTTTTATCAACATCATTTACCAGAGTGGTACCCACTCTGTACCTACATTGATGAACCTAAATTGACGTATCATAATCACCCAAAGTCTATAGTTTACCTAAGAGTTCGGTATACATTCTGTGGTTTTGGACCAATATAGAATGACATATACCCATCATAGAGTATCATACAGAGGATTTTCTCTGCTTTAAAAGTCCTCTGTGTTCTGGGTGGCTCAGTCGGTTGAGCATCTCAGGTCATGATCTCACGGTTTGTGGGTTCCAGCCCCACGTCCGACTCTGTGCTGATGACTCAGAGCCTGGAGCCTGCTTCGAGTTCTGTGTTTCCCTCTCTCTGCCCCTCCCCTGCTTGTGCTCTGTCTCTCTCTGTCTCTCAAAACTAAATAAATGTTTAAAAAAAAAAAAAAAAAAAGATCAACTTGGAAAAAAAAAAGCCCTCTGTGTTCTGCCTATTCATTCCTCCACCCCAACCCTGACAACCACTGATTTTTTTTTTTAATGTTTCCAGTTTTGCCTTTCTAGAATGTCATAAAATTGGAATCCTACAATATGTTGCCTTTTCAGATTAGCTTCTTTCACTTAGAAATATGCATTTAATATTCCTCTATGTCTTTTCATAGCTTGATAGCTCATTTCTTTTTAGTACTCAATAATATTCTATTGTCTGGATGTACCACAGTTTATTCATTCACCTACTGGAGGACATCTTGATTCCTTC